TGTGCCGTGTCCCGCGTGGGTGAGCCCGTGGCGGCGCTGGTTCCTGTCCGATGCGCGCCGCTGCGAGGCTTAGGCTAGTCGGGGTGGATGCTGGCGGTGGAGTGCTCTGCAGAGTGGGCAAGAGACAGTAAGGTCCTTACGACCACGCTTATTGTAGGCAGCTAATAAATGCACGTACGTGTTTTGCTATCTCCTTGTGATCTTTGCGCCAACTGGAATCAGAGCTACACGCTTGCCTGTGTTTACTTAGAAAGCATATTCCTGTAAGAAGGAGGTGACTGCATTGTAGGGTAAGTGCAGTGACCGGAAGTCGGCGTTGCAGAAGGCTGCTCTCCAGTAAAGCTGCGCGCAGTGTTTTCCATCTGTGGAATGCGTCTTTGCATCACAGAAACGCAAACTGCTGCAACGACAGATACTATCAGCTTGCTTTTTCTTTTTTTTTTTAAAGTTAATTAAAAGCTGTTCAGCACATGTGCTTCTAAATCTGTTTTTGGTAATTCTTAGCTACTGTGAACAGAACCTGACGCTTTTATTCCTCACGTTCTGAAGAATGGGAGGCACGTCAAAAGAACAGGGAGCCCTTAATAACCGTACAAGGAAAGCAGTGAAAAAAAATGAGTCAAGTGCTGTCAATTCATAATAAACAGAGATTATAGTAACTGTCATTTTCTGTAAGTTTGAACTTCACTTGCACCAAAAATAGGCAGGATTTTTCAGTTATGTGACTTTAAGTTGCTGTCTCTTCAATTTATTAATTTACATAAATTATTTTATGTTCCACATATGTAAGATATTCTGAGTATGAGGGAGTAGAAGTGATCAACCATAGTTACGTAAATATTGGAAACTTTTTTTTTTTTGTTTTTAAATCCTGTGCTGGTTTAAAAGTGTAATTTCGCATGATGTCATCATCATAGCATCACTGCAGGGTGTGGTGCCGTCATTTCACAAATAGTAACAAGTTCCATTTTTACAAATCTAGAGATGCGTGGGAAAATGTAGCAGTGTGTGCAATGATGTATCTTAAAGGATATTTCAATTGTTATGGGATGTAAGTTCAAAAATAAGCCTTGTCTATATTTGTATGTTGATTGATTATCAGCTGAGGCACCTGTACTAACTTTTTTTTTTTTTTTTCCCCAGGAACCTCATCAATAGTTTGCAGATCCGGAGGCAATGACATAGACTGTGTTGTACTTACGATTTAAATACGTATATTCTTAGGGGAATAATATTTTGTCAGTATCATTCAATGCCTAACATTTCAGAAGATGAAAAGGAGAATGGTTCTGGAAACAATGGAAACACTGAAAACAGACCTGGGAAAGAATCCCCAGAAGATTCTCTTCATGATCCTATAAAGCCATACTGCATGTCACATGCCTCCACTGCATCACTGGTTTCTAGGGCAGATGGGCATTATCCATGGGGATGTCCGGTGACTCATACAAGAGAGAAATTTTATACTATCTGCTCAGACTATGCTTTTTTAAACAGAGTAACATCTACTTGTAAAAGCCCAAGTGCTTCAGTTAGTGCCTGCCTGTCGGGCAGTGCTGCCTTAAATGTCGGTAGTAACACACCTAGCTTAATCAGCATTCAAACGGGTGTTTCCGAGATAATCTATAGTGAAGATGCTAACTTGGAGAGCTTGTCTAGCAGTCTGGGAAAGCTTCCGTTGGCATGGGAAATCGACAAATCAGAATTCAACAGTGTGACCCCAAATCTGAAGAACAAAGCAGGTAAGATGCTGAACGTTTGATGTCGTGATGGAGAAAGGTTTCATGTTTAGAACTTGTTGTAGAGGGGGAAGGTCAGCGCTTCTCTCTCTCAGTGCAGTTCTGTAGAAGAGCCTCTAAGTCATTTCTCACAAAGGAGGATTTTGCTGATAGGAAGGAAGTGGTTGAAGAAGGAGGAGTGAAAGTCCAATGTAGCTAGCTAGGTAAATGGCTCTAAAACAAAGCTGGCTTTTACTTAACTGTGTGTGTGTGTGTGTGTGTGTGTGTGTGTGTGTGTTTTGGAATTGTTTGTTTGTTTTTAATAGAACTCAGTGCATCAGTGGTTTCTACCTATAAAGTACAGAGTTATGGTTTGCAGAAATATTACAAGGTACTGCAGAGATGGAAAAACAATCTGTACTTTGCACTGAAAGAAGAGCCGGTCTTTATTTTTGATATGTAGATGGAATCATTACAGGAACCTACTTCTGTATAACTGTTTTATTTACTGCCTCCTATAGTCTTTCTCTATCTAGTTACAGGTTTCAGCTGTGAATCAAGCATTTGCACACAGATGGTTTTCTATGTCCTATAATCCCTCTTCTTATCTAGAGCTGCTTGCAGCTATTTCATAATGTGCTGGTTACTTAGTCAAATTGTTATTATGTCTACCTTATTATGAAATCAGTTTAGCAAAACTTAAATATTTTTTGGCTAGTTACCATTGTCTTTTTACACGTACATGTGGTGTCCTTAAATAACTATAAGAAACAATGATAACATCTCCCGGGGGGTCAGTTTTGCTAAAATACATGCAATATACTTCATTTGGATATGATGGCTTCAAAATGGGACAGAAATACTGCCTCAGTGGTTTACAAAAAGGAAAAGATCTAGGGGGTGTACAGTTCTCACTGAATTTGCACAGGAGTTTCCATCAGAAAGCGTAGCTGGCTATGCAGCTTGGCCATGACAACCAAATATTTAATTATATTTCCCCACGTATTTAAGATTATATGATGGGAAGTTTATGTTGGTGATCCCCCTCTCCCTTCTCCCTATTGGGACAGCATTGTGTTAGCCGTCTTATGATTTTTCAGAGAATCTGTTTCTGGGATGGCTGATTCAACTCATTAGAAACTAATCAGATTGACTGTCCCATTGAAACAGTTGAGCAGGTGGTCATTACTTTTGCTCAGTAAAAGCAATATGCTGTTTACATGGTCAGTGGGTGGTTTAGAAACCTGTTGACACTCTTGATTGCTTATTTAAGCTTTTTCTTCTATTAATGTTTAGTCCCAGTTTGCACTTAATGACACAGCTAGCATCTCTATTTGAGGTGCATGCTATTAATAAAAATTTTCAGGGAGAAGGATTCAAAGAGGAATGTAAACCAGCAATTCATTTACTTCTGAAATCTGTTTTACAGGCAACATGAAGAAACAAGTAACAAAGAAAAAATCTTTAGACAAAAAAAGCAAACAATACAGGGAGTGTCCTCAGCGTTCTGCTCTTGAAGAGGTGAAGGAGAGGAAAGTGTTGGACCTCCGGAGATGGTAGTATTTGTGAGATGTATTAAAGATTATCCCCATATAGTTTGTTGGTAAACACTATTGCTGATTATTTTATTTAAAACTTTTTAATAAAGTATTTAATATTTTTTAGTAGAACTACTGTATAGGGTATGAGATGTAGTCTGTATATGTTTAACATACTTTCCACAGGATGGTGAGAATAACAGCTGCCATTCCATATGTTAAAATACTAAAAGTATTTTACTTTCTAAACAATTTTCCTTTTCAATAAGGAAGTAAGTTATGTGGGGATCTGGGTAATTGTCTTACTCTTGATGTTTCTTTCGGTTTGGAAATACTTGAGCAAAATTTGTCAGTTCTACGCAATCTATGAATGTATATCATATGGACTTAGTTCACAGAGTTCGCTTAAATTAGTGAATTCATTTAATTCTAACTTACTGTATTTCTGTGACATCAGGAAATTAGTGTCCCAGGAACCTGTGGCCCAGAATCACATTCATTAGTAAATTGGTAGCGATGCAATTTACTAAAAGCTCATATGTTAAAAGAGACTGGTTGAAACTGTATATTAGTTTATTTGATTATATTAGTGTACAATCATTTTTCCTACAAGATCATTAATACAGAACTTTCTAGGGGCTATTAAAAATTTGATGGTGACTCATTTGTATAAAATAAGGTTATAGTATCTGACAAACTGGAAAGAACTGGGTTAACACATTTGCTCCAGATTTGTAAAAAAAAAAAAAAAAATTATGCACTTTTTTAAGGCAAAATAAAAACAAGTTCATTAAGTTATCACACAAAAATATTTCAGGTTGTTCACATGGCTAAATCAAGAATGCTTACTGATTTGATATTTTTTTAATAGGTATTGTATTAGCCGACCGCAGTACAAGACTTCTTGTGGAATTTCATCCTTAGTGTCTTGCTGGAATTTCTTATACAGTACACTGGGGGCTGGAAGGTAAGTCAAACTTAGATCACTTTACCTCCAAAGAGTCTAAAATATGTTGTTAATTACTTTATCAGACAAGATTAATTTTTTTCAGCTTACCACCTATTACTCAAGAGGAAGCTTTGCATATACTGGGCTTTCAGCCACCATTTGAGGAGATTAGATTTGGTCCCTTCACTGGAAATACAACTTTAATGAGGTATGTCTGGTACTCTTGATGCAGCTGAAGTGTTAATATATCTAAAAATAACATGATAAAGCTAAGAGTTAGAGTCTCTAAAAATAAAGTAGTATTGGTTTATTTAAAAAAAAAAAAAAAAAGGGATATGGCTGATACAAATCAGTCATCTAAATTTTCCAAATGAAGAATATCTCGTGCTCTGACAGAGTCCAAAGGAACATTTCAAGAAGAGTTTTGCACTAGCCATTTTTTATGGTACTGTGTTGGTATACAAATCATGAGAACATGAAATTCTATTTGATTTTTTGTTCAGTTTGATTAGTGGCAGTGTATTCTAATGAATGCAAACACTGTCCTAATTAGGAAAGGTGTTTACACTTGTTCACCTGTCTTCAAAAGCCATGTTAAATATTTGTTAACGTCACTAAAATAGCTTGTAAGAGTTGTTCAGGGCAGCAGTCAAGGGAGGGAAGTGGGACCGGACTCACAAAAGCATTTAAACTTTCAAGTTCTGTTTACCTTCTACTCTCCTGCTACTTGATCTTGGAAAATTAGGCCTAAAGTCTGTATCCTTTTTTGTTTTACTAAACTCAAAGAGTTTTAGAATTAAGCAGAGTCAGAACAATATTTTGACAGTGCTGAACATCTTAACAGGGCTTTAGTGTGTTACCTGTCTGTGAGATTAAGAAATGTTGCAGTCTTTCTCCTGTTCTGTCAGTAGCATCTGATCTAGTTAATGTGTTTGGAAGGTTATATATGTAGTTTGACACAGCATATGGGTGCTGGATTAGAAGATGTGGCAGCAATCTGTTCTTAAATAATAGCATACTAGCTAGATTGTTAAAGGCAGTCATGAAAATTTCCTTCTCTGCCTTGAAAGACTGATCTTATTTTGTATCTCTTAGGAGTATTTCAAGGTGTAGTAACCCTTTCAGAAGAAGCTGATAGAATATTCTACCTCTTTACATTGGCAGTCTATAGAACAGAAAGTAAAACCTGAAATTCTTCTTCCTTTTCCTCCCTGTGAGTGAGCTATGCACGCTAGTCTTAGTGATTCCCCCTTCCCCCTTTTTTTTTTCCCCCTCCCTCTCTGCCGAATCATTTTAAAGTACTTGTCAGAGTGGAAAACGGGAGGATACAGAGCCAGATCCATTCTAAGATAGTTCTATAATTGAGATGCAATAGTTTTATAATTGAGGGATGTGAATTTGCATCTTCTAGTGCAGAAGAGCGCAGTGAATGTCTGAGACCACTTGTTACTTTCTGCTGCTGTGAAGAGTTCTGGTGTGGGATTCCTGAAATTCTTTGGGATTGTGAATTGTATGTGATAAAAGCCAAACATGATATGCAGAAAGTCTCACTAAAGAGTCATGCCTTCTAAAGGCTGTCTTAGAAGGTTACCTCTGTGTAGCATGCAAATAACGTTTAAAGTTTAGCGCTTCAGAAACTGAGAGTTTTTCTGAAAGTTCTATGTGACTGACTGAACTCAAATGATGAACGTTTTCATCACAAAGGATGAATGTTTTCAAATCTAGCCTTTTGGTTATTATGCACGAATCTATGCCAGGTCTGGAAAAGCAAGGTGGAGGAGAAGGCTTTAAATATTTATATAGCTTTCTAGGAGATGCTGTATTTTATTTGTATTATGGTAGCATGATCATCTGAGATCTGTATGCTTGTGGTGGGTGCTTAGTACCACGTTGAGACTTCTTTCCTAAATTGTCAGGGAGTGGGAGAAAATAAATAAAATTGCACTTATTAATTTTTGAGATACTACAATCTTTAAGTTTATTGTTTCAGATGGTTTAGGCAAATAAACGATCACTTCCATATAAAAGGATGTTCATATGTTCTGTATAAACCTCATGGGAAGAACAAGACAGCGGGAGAAACTGGTAAGTAGCTAATCCTAAAGCATTAGTCTTTCAGGATGTAAACTGGAAAAGTCCTATAGCATATAAGATTTGACAGGTCAGATTATGTAAATAGTCCTTATACTTTGCAGTTTCAGATAAGCTGTCAAATAGCTCCAAATTCCCTCCCCCCCCTTTTTTTTAATTTAATTTTTGTTCTTATCTTAGTAAAACTTTCATTTATACTTTTAATAAATATAATCTGTGATATGAGATTACTGTGAAAGAGCTGGCTTTCTAAGGTATCCAGGAGGATGCTGCATTTCCAGTTTTGTGTTGGTATCCCTGTTTGCTTTAATACACAGAGGATCAGCTCATTTTTATATCTCAATTTTTTAGTTTTCTAAAACAGTGAATATACAGCATCCAAGCTACTTAGTTAATACCTTTATTAAATGTTTTCATCTTTTAAAAGTGTTAGTCAACTAGTTTTGAAGTTAGTCAACTCATCTATCATGCCTGACTGTAGCTATGTCTAAAAGTTAGATGATTACTCTGAATTACCTGCTGAAGCTACATTTTTCCATTGTATATACTTTAAGTGGGCTAACTAAAGATAAATTATATTTTTGTATACAGATTATTAGTCTTTGAGGTGGTCTGGGTAATTATCTTCAGACTGGAAGGGTAATTTAAAAGGGTTAAACTACTGACAAGTTATTGGAGAATTTTTTAAAGTGGAAACTTTAGCAAACTGCTTTTTGCTGTTGAATTGTTACATGTTCCGGTGTCTTTTTTTGTCCTTAGTATCCCATTGGAGAATTCTTTCATGTTTCAGTGCTTTTTCTACTCTTTTTCTGAAACTGAGCAGTGTAATTGTGTTACAGAATATGGTGTAGCCAAATCTGGGAGAGGTTTCCAAGACTATGAAGCTTTAGAAGCTTGTGATATAAAAATGTTTCAAAGCTTTTAGGGAGTGCCAGTTTTATCACTGATATGTGCTACATCTGACTTGGAGCACTGAGATTACTTTGTATTATAGTATGTTTCCTGACTTCAGAGATACTTTTGGTTCTTTTTTGTAAAGCAAGTAGTCTTTAGTATGACTTGGATCTAAAAACAATGCGTACTTTATATTTTATTTTCCTAGTGCCCACTGATGTGGCAGATGTTACCTTTTTGCACTATGCAAGAAATGGAATCCTAAGCTACAAATTTTAAGTCAGAACTATATTTTGTGTGAGCCTGTTGGTTCTGACCTCCATTTAAAAAAAAAAAAAAAAAGAAGAAGAACTTTGTAACTATTTTATATTATCACATAGGTCTATTCTGCTGAATGTGTAGCAGGATCAAAAGCACTTTGGCCTGTAACCTGGTCTTTCTTTATAGCTGCAGGGGCCCTGGCAAAGCTAACGCGTGGACTGAAAGATGAATCAATGGCCTACATCTACCATTGCCAAAATCATTATTTTTGCCCAATTGGATTTGAAGCAACTCCTGTAAAAGCTAGTAAAGCATACAGGTAAGAAATTGTGCTTATTTTTATTTTGGTTGAGAAAATCTACAGAGAAATTTACTGCAAATTGATACCATTTTTCTCCCTAAATAGCGTTTAAGTGGAAATTGGAAAAGCGTCTATGTCTGAACTAGCAATATACTACCATGTACTTTAAAAAGCTTGATTCTGCAAAGCTAGATACAATTTAGCCAACTGGATGAAAGGATTTAAACAGAAAACTATGAACAGTATTACATTTTTTTAAAGGCATTTTAGCCAGGTGTAGAGAGGGTAGTTACTCACCTGAAGGACAAATGAAGGCAGCTTTGCTGAAAAAAGAAACTATATAGACTGAAAAAAGCAAGGTGAAACTTTCTTATTTGAAGAAGAAACAGAAAAAAAACGACTCATTAGTTAGGAGAGTCTGTACTCAGATTCCTCGGGGAAAAAAGGAAGTGTGTGTTTGTTTTGGGATTTTCTTGCTAAATTAGAAGTAAAAAGAAGCTTAGCTGTTGGTTAAAGCATTATGAAATGGTAATGATAAAACTTACCATGGCAGAAATAAGTGTTTGTGTATGATGAGAACATAGGGGATGTTGCAGTAGTAGTTCAGGATGCTGGCTACATACTTTTTTGCAGTGTTTGCTAAGAACAATGATAAACTGCAGCTCCTGGAGTTTGAGGCTTTGAAAAATAAATAGACCTGAATAATTTGTTACCAAAAACTTAAAAAAAAAAAAAAAAAAAAAAAAACCACAACCGTCCAAAAAAAGCCCAACCGATCTGGTTGAAGTGATCCCTAGAGTATCATTGTGTTTAGCTTTTCTATTATTATTATTATTGTTTTTGTTATCCCTGTCTGGAATACTGGATGACTTCTAGAACACCAGGAGAAAGTTACTATGCTAGTGATGACTCGAATGATTTCAGGTTTGCCAGGGTGACAAACGCTGACAGGATAAAATAATGAAATAGCTGATATGGATTTCAATTAAATGTGGGTTAAAACATAGATAGTAGACGTTAGAAGAATAGATGATAGTGTTGATATTCATGCTGGGTTTATGGAAAGCCTTGCATGAAAATACCAAGTTTGGTATGTTTGACAGATTTTGAAATCTTGAGCTTTTTTTTAAGGCATTTAACTTGTCACTATCTGATACGCTGACAGTAGTTCATATTTTACATCATTCACAGAATCATATTACATTAAACTGTTTTTCCTTTCTCAAAGTAGTTGTAAACATATTATGTTTTGGATGTTTCTGTTTGACTTGGTTCAGCTGTTGGTAAATACTTATTATCAATGAGCATAAGAAAACAATCCGCGACAAAATCAGAAGATACTGATTGCAGGGAATGGTAAACAATGAAGAGAGTAGGCTGCTGATGTAAGGTGAACCTCAGTCTTGCACTTTGCTTACCAAGCAGTCTACGTCTGGCTGTGTTGAAGAAGTAGTCTCTTACATCAAGGAATGAAGAGTGCTGACTTGACTCCTAGAGTTCAAAACAGTGATTGTGTGGAGGCAGTAAAGTGTAACCATCTAAATCTAATCTGTTCCCAGTGTGAGACTGAGACCAAGAGGTTAATGAAAGCTTTCAGTATATGAACAAAAGAATACAGAAGTTTTTATTACGATTGCATTCACTGACATGCCATGTGAGTGAGATAAGTTTGCAAAATAGGCCCCTAATGGAAATCCGGCAGCTTGGTCTGCTTGTGTTTACCAAAAAATTAATGGCTTGCTTACTCAGTCAAGTATTAAGTATCTGCACTGGGAGAGGAGAGAAATAAATACAACTTTTGCCTACTAGATTGAAAAAGCAGTTAAAGAAATAATATGGTCCAGTGGCTAGAAACTTAAGATGCCTTATAGTTTGAATTCTCATCATTTAGTAATGAGAAATCAACAATTCAAATACTTTAACAGTGGTTGAAATGAATGCTCAGTTGCTGGTGATGTAATTTTTAAGTCAATATTGGATTTTTTTCCTAAAAATGATCTCTTCTAAAAATGTAATGTGAAATAAGGAATTGGAGGAATTTTTATAGCCTCATGTTAGGCTGCAGATCAGATCAGAAGAGCACCATGTTCTCTTCATTATCTTCTAATATATGATTGAGGAAAAATTGTTTAGACTCCAGAAGCATTGTCAATAGACTCTGCAATAATTCTTACTTACCTGTTTTTGCATTCCAGTTATGAGGAAGGTTTTTATTTAGAATTCAAACTTAAGTTTCAGAAGAAATCAGTAGATAGGTTGCTAGGCTGAGCTTAGGAGATAGCTCCCAGGTCACCCACAGACTTCCTGTATGATCTTAGGTTACTGGATTTGGACTCGGGAGACCTGGGTTCAGTTCCTAGTTCAACCACAGACTTGCGGTGTGACCTTAGGTAAGTCAATCTGCCCTGTGTCTTGGTTTCCCATCTGTAAAATGATGGCATGCATTATTATTTTATAGGGTATTATATGAATAGGTAAAACGTTGCAAACAATAAGGCCATATACCGTCTAATCCCATAGCTAGAAAAATCTCAGTTTTTGTCACTGTTGAAACTGAGGTACTTTTCACAAGCTAATTGTGCCCGTAAGGTTGCAGAACAGGACTGTGTCTCGTCAGTGTGTCCTAATGTCTGTAACAGACCATCCCTGGGAAAGTTACTGCAGGCTTTGTGTTTCTTGGAAGTTGCTCACAAACTTGAATTATTATCAGTTGAGGGGATTTGTGTTTTTTTTTTTTTGTGTGTGTTTAATATAGTTGATGAATGTTTAGGAGGGAGCTGTTCAAGTCACCCGTTGATTTCATGTGGGTTACTTTACAGCTGTCAGTAACAACTGTCAGCTGAGATGTAGTTTAAGTGCAGCAAAAGGGGTTCTTTGACTGGCTCTTTTGAGGGTTCCACCCTCACAGGTTTTTCCAGAACTCTATTTCCATTGTTACATATATATTTAGGTCTTACATTAAGATTGCCTTTCAACAGAGTAAAATTATTTTTGATAGAGATTTTTCTTTTTCACAAGTAATGAGCAGTAGCTTGTATCTTGCTTCCAGGTCTTGTGAAACGAAAAGCTTCCCTGTATGCAATTGCATACAATTATTTTTAGCATAGGCGCTCATAATTTTTTTAAGTAATAGGAAATCCTAAAAAATGATAAGAACGTTAATCTTTTTTTTCTTTTTAGTATGCACAGTAAGTCTTACTAGGATTGTATCTTCTATTGAACAGAGGTCGTGTCTTGCAGCAGGAAGTGGAATACTGGATCTTAATTGGTGAGCCAAGCAGGAAACATCCAACAATACACTGTAAAAGGTATGTTACTTGGTAAGAATTTAAAACCATGTATTTTCTTCCAAAAACAATGTGCATTTTCTCGGTAGGGATCGTAAAGTGTCTCTTTAATTCTTTCAAATGAATATACTATAGTTTTTAGAGAAACAAGTGCTCTAGTGAGAGACTTCATGTTTTGACAGCTTATTTTATTCCACTTGAGAAACCAATAATTCTTGCAATTAGTATGTTAGCACAAGGGAGTATCCAAGACCAAATCTGCTGGCCGTCTACTCTGGTTATTTGTTCTTTCAGTAACCTCAAGGCTGGCCCTAGGGTTTTAGACCACGTAGCAAGACACGCTGACCTGTACTGCACATAGGCATGTATAGCCTCCTGGGAGCCAAAGCAGTTTTCTTATGTATTAGCGTGATGCAGCTGACATCGGTCAGAGAAAAAGGTTGTCAATAGACTCTGTCTGCAGACATAGGCTGTCTGCAATAATGCCACTTGGAATTTATAGGCTGTATGAACTTTGGTTGACTTTAGGCTGCCATTGTGGAAGTACATAGCTGTATTTTGGTGTGCATTGAGTACCATGCTACTGTTGGATCTCTTTGCTCAGGTGTAGGTACATGCCTGCAGTCTTTTACAGTAGTAGCTTATATATGCACTAAAACAAGGAATCTATGACCAAATCTGAGTCAAAGTTAATTTCCTCCTAGTTAAGTATGGAATGATTTTTTGGGGGGTATATATTAGGAAAAGAGCTGTTTGGGGAGAGGGGGGGAAAGGTTAAGCAACGTCTTTGTTTCCTCATCTTTATTCTCCTAAATATTTTGAAAAGTTCTTTCAAAGTACTTGTCTGTTTCGTAGTGTGTCAGATTTATCCCAGTACCTAAGACTTAGAGAAGTTTTTGGTCAGGGTTGACTATGTCAACAACAGCTGGCTGCTTTGGATTAATGGACATTTAAGTGTAAGAAAATAAAAATCTCACTATGCTTGTGGCTGCTGTACTGAGAAATGGATTACTCCTATCCCACTGACAGACTTTTTCCCTGTGGTATAATGAGCCACAAACAGTGCAGGAATATGGAATCCTGACTATGGAATACAAACCTCTAATATTACTTCTGGTTATGAAGAAATTTTTGCTCCTGCTAGGTAGGGGAGAAAAAGGTTACAGTAGAAATGTTTTTTTTTCTGAATTTGGAGGATGACGTTAAAGAGAAAAGGGTATTTGGAGATTAGAAGAACTGAAAGAGTGGTGTGTAGGCTTAAAGATGTCTTGAATATGGGGTTACATGTTTCAGTTGGGCTAAAAGGAGCTATAAAACTCTGAAGAGCAGAGTGAATGGGTAATGATTGAACTGATAGCTTATTAGAAAAGGGAATTTAATAGTATAGAGGAATGAATCATGGTCAGAGTAGCCTGGTAAAAACAGGTTTAATGGGTGAGGGGAAAAAAGGGTTCAAGAGAAATACTGTAAAAAGGTAAAAGAGGGTTAAATACAGTAGAAGGTAACCCGTTTCCTTGCCTAAACACCTTGCCGCTTCCTTTTACAAAGCGGCAAATTGATAAGGGTAAGGAGAGCTGATAGTGCTTTTACTCATTTTGGAAGCTGTTTCTCAAGAGCAGTAATGATCACTGTAAATGATGTCATTAGAACTGGAGCCTTTATATCTGCCTTGATGTCTCCAATACTGAGGCTATTATATATTTTTACACATGAATTTACCTTTGAATCACTGTTAGGCTATTTAAAGCTGCAAATACATATTTATGTGTGTGTATGTGTAAGTCTTAGTGGTGCTGAGGTTTTATAGATCTCAATTGAGTAATAATATATTTTATTCTATAGGTGGACAGATATTGTTACTGATCTAAACACTCAAAATCCAGAATACCTAGATATTCGACACCTAGAGAGAGGATTGCAGCATCGAAAAACAAAGAAGGTAAGGTAGTCTTACTAAGATAGGAGAGAAATCATAATAGTTATTCAGCCAACTTACTCATACTTCAGCAGTGTAAGATGACTCTACTAAAAGAAGTTTAATCTGAAGTATTGCTGAAGACAAAAGTCAAACGGGAGTTCTTACGGACTCGCTGCTTGTATTTACTTTCAGGACAAAACATGATACAGCAGTAGCTTGGTATTATGCTAGGATGAACTAGGATGTCTGTATAGACAATATTTTTGTTTGCAACATTTAACCTTGTTGGCTTAAAATCTAGGAGCAGCAAGGGTAGAAATACTCTACAGACAAATAATAGACTGATGCTTTTGGTGCATGAACTGCACATAAACAGGAAAGAAAGTAGGTGCAGTAGGGTCAGACAGAAAACAATGCATATTTTGTGGTTTTATCATCAATGCATATAGCTTTCTATTGATAGGACTGGTGGGGGGAATGTATTTTTGATTAGCAGGTTGGAAGTCTACGTAAGAAATAATAGACCGGAGAGAGGATTTAAAGTGTGGAGACTATATGGAAGGTGAAGTCAACGAGATGAGAAGGGACCAGAAGAGATAATTTGTGTGCAGGTGGCTGGGGAGTAAAAAGGGTAGCAGAAGATAAGTTATATTAGACCATGAAAGGTAAAAAGGGTAACTTAAAGGATGAGAAAGAAGACAATAACTGAATTTAAAAAAAAAAAAAATCAAAATCCATGGGGCAGAAGGTTTGCAGTTTTTTTTTTTTATTCTATATTCTGTTAGCCATAAAGATCTTTATTTCAAATATCTACTCGTGTTGTAAATGTGCCTATGTGCATTTAACAAAGAACCTTTTAACTTTGATTAGGTTGGAGGAAATCTTCATTGCATCATTGCCTTTCAGAGACTTAACTGGCAGAGATTTGGTCCTTGGAACTTTCCATTTGGAAATGTTAGACAGGATAAACAATCCCAAACACAAGGACAGGGACTTGCCAAATCTGAGAGTGAAGATAATATCTCTAAGAAGCAACACGGACGACTGGGTAGATCTTTCAGTGCTGGCTTCCATCAAGAATCTATGTGGAAGAAATCTAATCTGCGTGAGAGGAGGAACAGTGGATATCAGAGTTATAATGATTATGATGGAAATGATTAAAATTAACTTTAGAATAAGAGAGCTCATATATTAAAGTTAGTTTTAATCAAGATATAGTAGGGATCTATTAGTCCTAGAATACATATGAATAGAAATTATGGTATAAGATACAGCTTCATAATTATTAAATATATCTGATTATATGGTTGCAATGGATGAGATCTGATGTATGAACTGACAGATAAGCACAGATTACTGTACTTTTGTAATCAAAAAGTATATACGATAGCAAAATCAATCATTTCTTTTGAAATAATTGTACTATGTCCTGACCTGTGAAAACAAAAATGCAGACTGAAGTGTAATAAAGAGACTTCACTGAAAATACTTAATCTTCAAAAGCATGAAAATTTAACATATGACTTTACAAAAAGGGTTATTCTGCATATTGTATAAGGATAGAAGTAAACATTGCCTTCCCTTTTAACACTCCATTTTACTAAGGCTGTCAGTATCCAGTAAAAAGAAAAAATCATGTACGTTAAAAAGCCTTGTCAGATTCATGAGGTGAATTACTGTTCTCAATTCAGTTCCAAGTAGACTTTTGTCAGTTAGATAACCCTATTTCGTCAAGCGGATACTGGTTACTTTTCTCTTAGCTGGAAGCCTACATTAGACTGGGAGGACAGCCCTTTGGCAGGAAAAGCTTGAGGATGGATGTTCCTTCCTGTTTTTCTTTTGTGGTTATGGTAGCTGAATTCTTATCCTGGAACCTTTTGAGAGCACTGATTTGCTTAACACTTCCTACAAGCTTGTAAAATACAGTTTTTAAAAAAGCTGCAGTTACCATTAGCCAAATGAGCTAGCTGAACACTGTGTTCTGTTGGCAGTTCTTTTCCTTGCTCCGTCTTAAAACTCCTGTCACTTTTATGCTGCTCCTTTAATTTGTATGAAGGTGATGCAAAGTGCCGAAAACTGCTGGCAGTCCTAATGATATACCTCTAGGCCAGCAGACAACTCCAAGTTTTTTTCAGGTGTTCCTGTGCAGTCCTTCCTTTATTTGAAAGTTTATATGATTGTTTGCCGAATGACATCTCAGCAATTTTGACTTTTTTGTGTACGAGTGTTCATACCTGCTCAAGGATTAATTTTTTGACATAAAAAAAATTGTCATGGAACGCAGGGGTTTTGTAGCTTGCTGCTTTTGTTAACCAAAAATGGGAGACTTTTAGACTTTTGTTCATTCAATAAAATCTGTTTTCTAGTTCGTTGTTTGTATGTGGTGTTTTGTTTTGTTTTGTCTTGGGAAAGGTGACCCTACATTCAGTGAAGATTTTCAGTGTTTGGTGACTTGAGGGATCAGAATTGCAACCCCTGCTTTGGGTCACAGGCGTGTGCAACCACTGTGACTTAACCTCTAATATTTACCTGGCCAAAGGCGGTAGCCTTTGAAAACGGGGGAGTTTTTAAATGAACTGTCTCAACGCTTCATTTTTTGCAAGCTGAATTTGGCGCTCCCCCCCCCCATCAAGGCGCCCACGAACTACACTTCCCGGCGGGCAGCGGGGCAGAGCGAGAGGCGCGCATGCGCACCTGTGCAGCCAGGAGGCCGCTGGGCGGAAGCGCTGGAAGCTGCCCCGAGTGGGGCTGGGGGTCGGCTCGGCGTGACGGTGCCGTTCCTCTTC